TAAACCAATGATTTAAAAACAAACAAACAAACAAAAAAAAAAAAACAAAGAGCCCAGGATGGGTGCCGTAGCTTATGCCTGTAATCTCAGCACTTTGGGAGGCCGAGGCAGGCGGATCACCTGACGTCAGGAGTTGGAAGACCAGCCTGGCTAACATGGCAAAACCTCATCTCTACTGAAAACACAAAAAAATAGCTGGGCGGGGTGACGCGTGCCTGTTATCCCAGCTACTTGGGAGACTGAGGCAGGAGAATCGCTTGAACCTGGGAAGTGGAGGTTGCAGTGAGCCAAGATCCCACCACTGCACTCCAGCCTGGGCAACAGAGTGAGACTCTGTCTCAAAAACAAACAAACAAACAAAAAACAGAAGTCCATAATGTTATTCCCCAAAGAGAGGGTGAGAAGAAGGGAGTGAGAAAGATAGAGACAGGGAAAATTTATTCTATAAAAAAGAATACTAGCTAATAAACACAGAAGGAATGGTAGAATTAGAAAATTACCAATTTGCAACCCTCAGTGTTGCTATTCAAGCAAGGATGATCCAGGGATGTGGTGTGAAAGGTTATCAGGAACACATAATTATAACAGACTCAGAGAATCACTTCACAGATTACTTATTAATTGTAAGAGAGAAAAATGTACCCTTACGATAGAGAGATCAGGTTGCCATGATCTTACCTAATAATCAAATGTAGCATTCATGGATACTAAGACCCTGACATCATATCCTCCTGACACGCAGTAAGTACACATATTGCCAAAAACTCAAATCTAACCCGAATCTAATCATTGATAAACCAATCAAACATATTTAAATAGGTGGAGAAGCTCTATTTATTTATTTACTTATTTGAGATACAGTCACACTCTGTTGCCCAGGCTGGAGTGCAGTGGCACAATCTCGGCTCACTGCAACCTCCATCTCCTGGGTACAAGCATCTCCTGCCTCAGCCTCCCGAGTAGCTGGGAGTATAGGCACGCACCACCATGTCCGGCTAATTTTTGTATTTTTAGTTGAGATGGGGTTTCACCATGTTGGCCAGGCTGGTCTCAAACTCCTGACCTCAAATGATCCGCCCGTCTTGGCCTCCCAAAATGTTGGGATTACAGACATAAGCCACCATGCCAAGGGGCTCTATTTAGATTAAATGAGTTGATAAAAGAAATATAATAAAATGCAATATGTACATCTTGACTGGATCTGATTTTAAAAACCAGAAACTATATAAGGTATTTTTGGGCAATTATAATTTTTTTTCTTTTTTGAGACAGGGTCTTACTCCGTCGCCCAGGCTGGAGTGCAGTGGCGCAATCATGGTTCATTGCAGCCTTGACATCCCCAGGCTCAGGTGATCTTCCCAAGTAGCTGGGACTACAGGTGCATGCTACCACATCCTGCTAAATTTTGTAGTTTTTGTAGAGATGGGGTTTCACTATGTTGCCCAGGCTGGTCTTGAACTCCTGGTCTCAAGCAATCTGTCCGCCTTGGCCTCCCAAAGTGCTGGGGTTACAGGCATGACCCATTGCACCTGGCAGAAAATTTTTAATAACTATTACATTGGGTAATACTGACTTCTTGCTTATAACGCATAATGTATTATGGTTATGTAGTAGAATGTCCTTATCAGGGATACATGTTGAAGAATTTAGGGGTCAAACGTCAATAAACATGTCTGTAACCTACTTTTAAACAATTTGGCCCAAAAAGTGTGTGTTTGTGTAAAAGCACAATTGGCAAATTGTGAATTGGCGTATCTAGGTTAAGGGTTGTACTTTAAGCTTTAATGTAAGCTTGAAAATTTTAAAAATATTTGTATTTTAAAAGAAGGGAGAAGAATACATCCTTCATAGGGCCAATAGATGTAAAGTTACAGTCACAGTGCCAGACCCCAATAAATAGCCAGACTTAATAAGTTACAGATTTACTACTACTACTTAGAAGTGTGAAAAGTTCATAATTTTCCTTCCCGAGTGTTGCTGAATTTTGAAGGGTGAGGATGCCAACCAGGGCTAAGTGGTGGAGGAGTTAGAATCTAAGTCCGGGTGGGCAGTCTGGATAGACCCACTACCCACAGAAACCACACCACTAGGCCATTTTTTTTTTTTTTTTTTTTTTTTTGAGATGGAGTTTCACTCTGTCACCCCGGCTGGAGTTCAGTGGCATGATCTCGGCTCACTGTGACCTCCACCTCCCAGGTTCAAGCGATTCTTCTGCCTCAGCCTCCTGAATAGCTGGGATTACAGAAGCGTGCCACACGCCTGGGTAATTCTTGTATTTTTAGTAGAGACAGGGTTTCACCATGTTGGCCAGGCTGGTCTCAAGCTCCTGACCTCAACTGATCCACCCACCTCGGCCTCCCAAAGTGCTGGGATTAGAGGCGTGAGCCACTGTGCCCGGCCAGGCCTGCCTATCTTCTGTGCTGTGATTCTGCCTGGGAGAAGATGGCTGTTCAGGCCTTGTTTTTCCTGCCTCGTCATGAACCCACAATCTCTGTACCCCAGCAGGAAAGAAACTCCTGTCATGACTCACTGTGAATGTTGACAAAGGCCACTCCTGGGCCTCAGAAATGTCAAGGATGGGCAGAAAGAACTGGAGAGAGGCCAGGCGCAGTGGCTCATGCCTGTAATCCCAGCACTTGGAAGGCCCAGGTGGGAGGATCGTTTGAGTTCAGGAGTTTGAGAGACCACCCTGGACACCATAATGAGACCTCGTTTCTACAGAGAAAAAAAAAGTTAGATTGCTTGAGCCTGGGAGGTCAGGCTGCAGTGAGCCGAGATCACGCCAGTGCACTCCAGCTTGGGCAATAGAGCAAGACCCTGTCTCAAAAGAAAAAAAAAAAAAGAAAAGAAAAAAAAGAACTGGAGAGGCTGTGTGGGGTAGGCGCAGACCATGCAAGGTATTCGGCATTACTCGGGTTTGTATTTGAATCATCCCCTGCCCCTTACTAGCTGTGCAGCCCTAGGCACGTTCCTGGGCAGATGATGATTGTAACAATAACAAACACTACAACAGTAATAATAATGGCTAACATTTATTGAGCAGTTATTACCGTGCTAGGTACTTTATACATGTTAATCTCTTTCAGTCTCACAGATGAAGTAGATACTATTACATACCTACTTTACAGACCAACCATACCAGGCCCTCTTCAACTTCTGCAATTTGGCATCTGCCAGCCCCTCTGCCTGGACCTTGAAGACAAATCCCATGCATCGGCCAGGTCTCTCAGCTGGAATTCATTCCTTCTCTGCATCTCCGGAGAATTTTATTCTAACCCCTTACCACCGCCAACTTTACTTAAGTAAATGGATGCCTGGCTCCCCTGCTGGGGCTGGGGGTGCCCCTTTCTATATCCACAGAAGCATGCAGAATAGGGAAAGAGGAAGAAATTTCTCTCCTGTTTAGTCAGATCCATTTTCCCCACCTGGATTTTTAACACTTTCTAATTTTGAAATGCTCTCTTGAATTTTCAATCTGAAATCTAAAGGCATGTGACAAGGCCGAGGTGATTACTTGGGAGTAAATGCAAGAGTTTCCACTACGTAAGGGAATGGATAGCAAGTGGCTGGGTAAATTTCAAGAAAGACAATGCTCAGAGTAACTACTGTGTCTTCCAGTAAGTCGGAGACTTCCCCACCTTACCCTACCGGGGAAAGGACCCTGCCTTGAGGCACTCAGGACGACTACCCTTTCTTCACCTCCCCTTCCTGATCACCCCACATCAGACAGCTGCATCTATAATTGTCTTGCCCAGTCCATATCTCTAAGAAGCCCGTAGGCTGCTCTATTACCATCACAACCCATAGGTAGGGAGAGAAAAGGTGCTTTAGACACACGGACCCCAGAATGAGTTGCGCAAAAGGCAGGAGGAGAGAGAGGTGGGCTGGAAGAAGGACACCACAGAATCTGGCACGGCAAGGTATTCTTTCACCTGGCGTAGACCTCCAACCACCACTACCATCCCCTAACCCCTTCCAGAACTTTCCTTCACCTTCTCAGCTGACTCTCACGCTTCAACTTGTGCTTTTCCTCAGGCACCAGCACCCCATTTCAAACTGCTCTCTTCCTACCGTCTCCTCCAAACAGTAAGTTATAAACACTGTGCTTTCAAATCCATCTCGTTTCATCCTCACAGTACCATACGAGGGCTGCCTTACAGGCTGCCATTCGGAAGGGTTGGGGGGACTGGTCCTGCCAGAAAATTTGCGAAGGTCAGGGCATCAAAACTTTTCTTTCTTTCCTGCCTGCCATGCCAAGCTAAACCCCTGCCTCCCCGAGTGCAGGGAAAAAAGCAAGGTATTTGAAGTAAGGAGTCCTGAGTGGTTTTAGGCAAGTACCTTCTGAGCCTCACATTCCTCACCTGTCAACTGCTATGGTGACGCCTCTACTTTCCACGGCGTAAGAGGTCAAGGAGATCACGGGTGTGCCACACTGAGCTCGGGGATGGACTCTATTTCCAGTCAGTAAAGGGAGGTGTTCTATGCATCACAGGCTTTTGCCCACGCCGCCACAGCGCAGCCGGCCCAGGGCTCTCCAGACCGGGGCGAGTTCCCTGTCATCTGTGTCTCCGCCCTTCCTTCACCAGTCCCACCCAGGCTGGCCTCATCGGCTTTTTCCGCACCCACTCCCCAGTTCTAGAGCCCCGGCTCCGACCTGACAAGTGCCCCACCCCGACCCAGATACCCCGCCCCTCCTTGTCCCACCCACCAAGGACTCCTCCCACAGTCCCGACCCTCATTATCCGGGCTTTTCCGACTATCACCATCCGCCCTAGCTCCTCCCACCAGCCCCACCCCTCTAAGAGCTCTGCCCCCTTCGGCTCACCTCGCGCCGAAACGCGCCCCCTCCCCCGCAGCCACAGGCACTGCCATCCCCATTTCACAGATGGGAATGGCGAGGCTGGGATAGATTAGTCTCATGGTAAGACAGGTGCCCAGTGGGCCCACGTACCCTTGCCGGTAGTCCCCGAGCCCCGCGACCCCGGCCGCGCCGCACCCACCTCCTGCCCTCGCTCTGCAGCCTCCCCTCCGCAACCGGCCAGCGCAGCTTTGCGAGGAGGGCGGAGGGTCGGAGCCCAGCCCAGGGGCGTGGCGGTCCGGGGTCCGCGCGCCGCCTTCCGGGACTGGTAGTTCTCTCTGGGCTCCTCGCAGCTCGTTGCGTCGAGAGCGAACTCCATCTCCCAGGAGGCATTGCTGCGAGTTGCTCTGCGCCCCGCCTCGTCTTCGCCGGTGTCCGGCTGGCTGGCCTTAAAGGGGACGCTGTCAGAGTGGCAGCTCGCGGGGTGGCCCTCGCTCCGGCTCCGCCCCATTTACAGCACCTCGCCCCTCCCCACGCTTCGTCCCGCAGCCCCGGGGCCGCGCCGCACAGTCGGGCTCCCTGGGTGCATAGAGCCTTGTGCCAGGCAGGGTGGGAAGACTGGATTTTGCAGTGGAAGCAGCATCTCTTCCATCTGGGACCTGGCTGAGGGCGTCCCTACCCTGGGGGGAGCAGAGGACCAGCCCTGACCTAGCCGGGCCCAGCCCTGTCCTGCCCGGCCTGAGCGCCCCGCCCAGCAGCCGGCTCTGCGGCAGGGCCCACCCAGGTCCGGGAGGTAAGGGGGTTGGGGGCGTGTGTGGCTTTGGGGGGCGGTGTCTGCACACAGGCGTTTGGAGAACCCTGGACTTGCGAGCCCAGGGCTGGGATTCGGGAGATGTGGGTGCATCCTGGGCCTCACTGTGTGACCTTGGGCGAGTAGCTACTCCTCTCTGGGCATTAACCTCCTCCTTCTCCTATTGTATGTCGAAGTGATCCTGCTCCCTCCCCTTTCAGGTAAGAGGACATTCGCACCCAGGACCCAGTCCATTCGCTCGCTGGCTTTTCGTGGGGCCCTCCAGCTCAAGCGTGGGCTGGGCGCGGGTGCACTGGAGGTAGGCAGGTGGCCGAGCTGGGGCACAAACTGGGGGGCCCGAGGCCACCATTGTTTGGAATGGGTTTTTCCTATTCTCAGCATGCTGGGCCCTGGGATACCCTCCCCCAGCCCCGCTTACGGCTCTGGCCCTTGCAAACCCGAGACCCTGATGTGTCAGCTTGGTGCACTTCTTCCAGAAAGCTTGGGGTGGAGTGCGGCCCTCACAGGTTTGTGAGGGGTGGCCCCGCAGGGATAGGTGTGTGTGGTGGGTTCCTGAGGAGGAAGAGCTGTTCCTGCTTTCTTCCCTTGTCTCTCCTCCTTAGCCTTTAAGGAAGAGCAGTTGCTTTTTACCAGTGAAACCCTTTTTTCTTTTTTTTTTTTTTTTCCAGGAGACAGTTTGGTGGCCCAGACATGGGCCTCCCAGAGTAGGGTGAAGCACTTCTTCCCAGGGTTGCCTTGGGTAGAAGTTCAGTTAAAAAATACCTAGAGAGATGCTGCCATTCAGACACCTGAGGGGCCAGAGATGGAGGGCACCACCTGGTGTCGGGAGGGGCAGCCTGGTACCCCCAGGCAGCTCTGGCTCCCAGGGGAGTCAAAGGAGGGAGGCTGGCCGCGAGGGTCAGAGAGGGGAGAAAATGAGCTCCTCAGCTCTTAGGTGCTGAGCAGGGGCTGGGAGGGGCTGCTCTGACCTGGAGCAGGGAGAGGTGGAGTAACGCCATGAAGCCTTCTTTTCAGGTCCTAGGAGATACCGTGAGCTTTTGACCTGAAGGCTAACCAGGAACAGATTTTTTTTTTTTTTAATTTTGTGCTTTTTCTTTTGCTTTGGTGGTTTGAATGATTTCTAGAATGGCTAAAGCCTCAGTCCAGTCCAGTGACCTCTGTAGGGGCTTTCTTGGCTGATGTTTAAGATTTTCAGGGTTTTTGATATGCAAGACCAGGTCTGGGCAAAGGAGGAGGCAGTGACTGGACCAAAGTTTAGGCCAGTTTCTGGAAGGTACTTTTCTGGTCACATCCTTGGTTTTCTCTCATCTTGCTGTCACATGTCTCACATGAGTCGCTTGATGCACCTTCACTGACACCTCAGTCCTTGGTTCTGCACTGGGCACTGGGCTCAGAGACAGGGATTGGACCTCTGCCAAGGGAGGTCCCAGCGTGGTGGGAGACAGACGTGGATTCCAGTTACACTGCAGAGGGATGAGGATGGCTAAGAGGGCCTTGGAGGCCAGAACTTTAGACACTTGAATTGTGGAGGGAAAAAGAAAGGCTTCCCCGAGGAGAGGGCATGTGACCTGGGCATTGAAGGGTGAGTCAGAATTTTTCAGGAGAGAAGAGGGAGAGGCCCTTTTTCAGTAGAGAGGACATTGTGCAAAGTAGCAGTCAGGAAAAAGCCCCCTGCCCCAATGTCTGCAGAGTCTCCACTGAACAATGTCGCTTGAGTTCATCTCCATCCCTGCCCCACATCAGCTGAGTGTCACAGAAAGGGCTTGCATGTCCGGCTCAGGAGTTTGGACCTTATTCTGGGTCCAAGGGGCTGGATAGTGTTGAGAGTTCTGAGCAGGGGCATGGGCGGAATGGTGCTTACCGTGTAATAAACTCCATCTGATGATGCTGCATGGTGGGTTGGAGAGACCGAGGCGGGATGATGAAGCCTGAGCGGGGCCCAGGGCGTGGCAGTGGGGCTGAGCATTGGAGTTGTGTACACACACACACACACACACACACACTGGGTGCTTTGGGGTGATGGAGATAAGTCAGGCTTCACTATGCAGGAGCAGAGATCAGTCAACAATCAGCAGAGACGCTGAGGGTCATCTGAGAGGAACAGGTGAAGGGATCTGGGCCTTTTGGCGGAGGGATTGGGATTTTCCTGAGTGCTCACTGCGTGCTGTGGTGTGTGCTGGTGTTGCTGGGACCCCCCTCAGGCTGTCATGCCGGTAGGGCGAGGGGTATGAGGCAAGGGCTTAGGAGGAGCAGCAGCACTGGCTGGGAAAGGCTAAGGGGTGGGCAGGTAGTCCCCGTCTATTTGGGCATTCCAAGGATCAGAGGTGAAAGAACACCTACCTCCATGGTGGCTGGGCTAGACTCCAAGCCTGGACTCTGTTCTCCAGGACACATGCCTCTGTTGGAGGTTGGATTGAGGGAGGGGATTGGGAGATGGGTTAGGAGGCCACTGTACTAGTCCAGGCGAGAAGTCAAGGGACTGATCCTGTGTGGGGCTGGGAACACCGAGGCGGCAGCGAGGGCTGGTGGAGGAAGTGCCTTGGAGAATCAGCGGGATCAGCAGTGCGTGTCTCCTTGTCTCCTTTCCCTGTCAGTGTCTGTGTCTCCCGTCAGTGCCAGGTGGCCCAAAAATAGACTCATGACTGCCCGGCCCTCATCTTTTTTATACCTTGTCTCAACCCTGTGAATGGCAGGCTTGGAATAGTCCCCATTTTCCAGATGAGAAGGCTAAGAAGCTGGGCAGGGACTCGCCCAAGGTCACCTGATGACTTTGAAGCAGAAAACCTGTGTCTTATGCTTTTCATGCAGGCTCTCCTGGGGGACGAGACGGCTGCTGTTTGCTGCTGTGGTTGGTGCGGGGCAGCTGTCTCTTGAGTCAGAGCGAGCATGGACAGGCCATCTCCCCACCTGGGGCTTAGCAGGCTAATCCAGCCCTCCTGAGGGAGGCAGAGTGCAGGTTCTAATCCTGCCTTGCCAAGGCCATGTTCCTCTACCTCTCTGAGCCTCACTTTCCCCATTCCTGCCAGTGGGATAGCTGGCCTTGTCCTGCCTTCCCTGGCCTGATGGGGCCAGGTGAGGTGCAAGCCTCTAAAACCCTTTTGTGTGAGTGCATCCAAGATATTGAGTGGGTTTGCTGGTGACCATGGTGACAGCTGTCCTCAGACTGCCTGCGTGGGAGTTGGGGCAGGTGGGCAGGGCTTGCTTGCTGTGGCCAGGCTACAGACTGAGCAGAGGCTGCTGGCTGGCCTTGGAGATCAGAGCTCTCATGGAGCAGCTCTATTTGAACTGTCAGCTGCCAGCCTTATGTGGTATTAGGTAGAACAACATGAAATTGCCAACATTTGATCATTCAGTTTTATGTGGTTCAGTCTAATATCATTTGTCCCCATTTTACAGAAGAGAGGCTCATGGATATGATTACTGAGGGTCACACAGTGAGTCAGGGCTAGAATGTAGGACTCCTCATTCCTAGTCTGATACTCTTTCCACTCTTTCTGGTACTCTTTCTACTACCAGAGTCTTCCCTGTCCCCAGAACTCCATTTCTGCCTGCCCCTGTGCCCTCTTGCTTCACACATGATGCCAGTGCCTCATGGATTAGAGTTTCTTCTTGGCTGCCTGAGTGCCAGGATTTCTTGGCATCCTGGGTTGAAAGCATATGAAATCCACTAGCCATCCCAGGGGTCTGGGAGGATGGACTGTGTGTGTGAGAGAGGTCGGCCACAGCAACTGCCCTGTCACAGGCACTGTCTAGAAAGGGGACCAGGGCTGACGGGAGAGTTAAAAAAATTTTCTTTTTTTTTATTTTTTCTTTTGAAACAGGAACTCACTTTGTCATCCAGGCTGGAGTGCAGTGGCGTGATCTCAGCTCACTGCAGCCTTCACCTCCCAAGTTCAAGTGATCCTCCTATCTCAGCCCCAACTAGCTGGGACTGCAGGTGTGAGACACTGTGCCTGGCTAATTGATGTAATTTTTTTTTTGTTTTTTTTGGGTAGAGACGGGGTTTTGCCACGTTGCCCAGGCTGGTCTCAACCTCCTGAGCTCAAGCCATCCGCCCACCTCGGCCTCCCAGAGTGCTAAGATGACAGGTATGAGCCACTATGCCCAGCTGGGAGACCAGTTTTTAAAGACACTTTATAGGCCTTTTCAGATTATGCCTTGCAGGGGCACCCTTACAAACATTTCTGCCTCCCCCATCAGACTGCAAGCTCCTTCAAGGCAAGGACTTTGCTTCTAAAGCAACAGGAGTTGACATTTTCTGAGAACTTCCTTGTGCCCAGCTCAGAGAGCCTAGGTAACCTTTATGGGAACCAGAATGTATCCCAGATGAGCCGCATTCAAAGAGTCAAAACAAAACAACAGAATTGAACACATCATTTCCCTCATTTCCTCATTCAGGAAGCTTAGGATGGACCCTAAACTTTTTTTTTTTCTTTTTTTTT